CTGGGATCCCTCGCCTGTGTCATCCCAGACTCTTCAGGTCTGAGGCACCACGGGTAGCTCGCCAGCCCACCTGCCTGTCTCCTGTGCCTCTTAGGGAGGAAAGGGGCCACCAGGATACCCCTACCTCCTCACTTCTCTGTGTCCTTCTCCATCCTTTCCTTACCCTTTCTAACAAACTATGGTTCTCTGTGACGCCTAGTTTATCAAGCCCCCCCCCCCCAAGTCCAAAAGCACTGATGATGAATTGATTCACCTTTTGAGGATAAGGGTGGGATGAAGAATCAAAACTGGATGTTTCTTGATTAGTTTTATTGTTTCTCTTTACTTTGTATTAGAATTCCTTATATTTGCTAATTACATAGGGTAACCAGGTTAGTCTGCATCTGGAAAAGTACACAGGAGTTCAATAGCACCATAAAGACCATAACACACATTATTTCAGCATGAGCTTCTGTAAGTCAGAGCTCATTTCTTCAGATGGATTGAAGTATACCACAAAGTTCTTGCAGAGTTCTATTGATAGCTGTCCCTTATTTAGAGGGACACTTCCCCCAATCCATAGGACATAGTGGAACCCTTTTATTAAAAAAAATATATGGATCTTGGGACTGTATAAATTGGTTATTAAAGCACCATTATATACTGAGAATTCAGTTACCCACAACTTCACTGTAATGGTCTCATTTCACAAATCAGAACTCTGCTTTGATTCTCTGTATCTGGAGTGAATATGGAAAACTATCACTAAAGCATGTTTTTTGCTGAAGAGAGATGCTTGATAGAGTTCACCATGCTGTTCACTCTTAAAGCGGTATTCTGGCCCTTCTTGTTGTAAGCATACTTAGAAGAACTTTGAAAAAGTGCTGGAAATTCTGTCTAGTGTTTAAGCTCTGCTTCCACCATGTGGCTATTACTAAGAACACAGCCAGTAACAGGTGGAATAACTCTTTCCTGCCTGGAAATACTTAGGAATGTTAGGAATTTGTTTAATGCATTTATTTTGGAGCAAGATGAAAGCCAGCCCAGGCTGGCTCAGGGTCCCTGAGAAGGCCCTTTGATCAGACTCTGGAGCTCTTCTGACAGCCGTCCTGTTTCTTTCTCTTGTTCTTTAACCAAGATTTTATGTAACCCTCTTGATATTATAATGAGTTGGTGTATCAAAGAGTTTGTGGTTGAGTGAGCCAGTCTCCCTAATTAAGTTCACGCTGCCTTCTATTTGTTTTTATTTTAGCTACTACCTCAAAGAATCGAAAGGCAGTAGAAGGTGGCTGCTATTCCTGGAAGGTGAGCTTGAGTTTTCTTTAATTTTATTTTCATTTATTTAAGCAAAGTTCAATGAGTTTAGGCTCTTTTTGTAGAACTCAGAGGATGGTGGAAGGGCTTTCTAGCCAATCTCTTCAAAGGACTTGCAGCATGTGTATATGTGCTAGAGGCTTTCTTTGTAAGCAGGGTCCCATTCTTCCCCCTTTTTTTTACTATTTCATATGCCATTGCCTCCTACAAATTTACTGGCAGGCTAACTACTCACCATCTTTAATCAAAGCTGCCTTCTCAGCCTATTTCTTCTGGTGGTTTCCTTGTACACAGTAGCATTGACTTTTCTGGTTTTCATTATATACATATAGTAAAGCTCTAAACAGATTTTTACTTCATTGTATGTGCCCCCACCCCTGGTAGTCTTCTCCTGTGAATATGATAGCAGTCGACTGGCTTTTACATCCTAGCTCCAAATGATCTTTTAAAAAGAAGTGTTATAGAATTTCTTTTGAATTTCTTTTGAAATTATTTTGAAAGTGATCGTAGAGAATCTGTAGCCAAGAGTTATTGTGATCAATGCTCCCTCTAAGCTGAGGAGGCTTGTGAGCAAAAATTCTACTTTGTGAGCTACCGGCATGAAAGTTGTGAGCGAGCAATTTGGCTCCTGCATAAATTAGTTTGCTCTGGAGCCATCCTTCCTGAGATGAGACAAAAATGTGAGCTGGGGGCTAAAAAACTGTGGGCTAGCTCACACTGACTCAGCTTAGAGGGAACACTGATTGTGATGATAATGATTCCTCAACATTACCGAAATAAACAAATGTCCTGCATGTTTTTGACCTTGCCAAGTATCTCAAACGCAGATTCAAGATGTTTTTAAGAAATCCTGCTGTGTATAGAAGCAGCCTTCTGTCATTGAGTGGAGCTACCAATCTACACAGACACATCCCAGTCCAGCAAGGGCAATCCATGGGCAGAAGCAGGCATCTTATGTGAATTTGGGGAGGGCGGAATAAAAATCCGAAAACAAATTAAATAAATCGATTTGCGTTGCTGTGCTCATCCATGCCTAATTGAAATGGCTGGATGGGCCTTTTCACAAAAGACCATAGACGATAAACACAAGTAGGACAGAATTGGGCCATAACTTGAAAGTAAGTCCCATTGATTCCAAGTCCTTGATTCCAGTGGCACTTCAGAGTGCAAAGCAGGCCCTTTTCATCTCTGTGGGCACAACAGTGAGGCACAGAGTGAGGCAAAGATTTGACTGTCGTGCTGGGGGGGGCATGTTAGGATCAGTTTGTTTGGCTAAATATAAAACATAGAAGGCATCCAATTAGTTCTTTTAAAAAAGTAAATGTTAGTGAAAAGCCCACTTAAATAAATTGTATTTTCAAGAGAGCTGCTCAAGGCAGATTATGCGCCCTCTGTGGAAATGACAGCAGCCTGTCATTTCCATGCTGTTGTTGTCTACATCAAATACAGCATTTTAATTTACTGGACAGAGAAATGGTACCTTAAGTTCACAGTCAAAATGGTGTATCCTGTTATCGCTCTGTGCTACACAGGTGTTAGAATGCTTATATTTGTTTAAATATGTAACATGCCATATAGTGCCTATTTATGAGTAAATTACTTTTCAAGAACCCTCAATATGCATTCCACAAAGCAAAATGTTATTGGTGAAGTATATTATCTGATCCTTGTTTTTATGCATCAGGAGGCTGGTACTGCTTCAACAGAGAGAACTGCAACACTCGCTATGAAACAATGAGAAAACTTATGAGCTCCAAGGAATGGCCCGTGACCAAAACTGGTAAACTCTTTTAATCTAATCAGTTTGGGATTTATTTTTTTAAATATATGTTGCTTTTGCTTCCTATGTACAAAAAAATTTATCTGGTGCTGTATTATCTCTCTGGAAAACCATCCTCTTCTTCTTCTTCTTCTTTGCTGTCAAGTCACAGCAGACTAATGGTGACTCCGTTGGGTTTTCAGGGCAAGAGATGTTCAGAGGGGGTTTGCCAGTGCCTGCCTCTGCATCACGACCCTGGTAGTCCTTGGTGGTCTCCCATCCAAATGCTGACTCGGGCTGACCCTGCTTAGCTTCCAAGATCTGATGAGATCAGGCTAGCCGGGGCTATCCAGGTCAGGGTGTTCCTTATTTATTGATTGATTCAAGTATATAAGTATTCCGTTTTCAGTGCCCAAAGTGGCTCATAAAAAACAAAAGCGTACAATTCTAAATTAAATTATTACAAAACAAAAAATACAGCAATAAAGCAGTGAGTTTTTTTTATGCATAATGAAGATATTGCAGATCTGCCTGTGGAAAATGTTTTCAGAAAGAGAGTGTTTTTTCCAAACAACAAAAAGTTGAGAGAGAGAGATGTATTTGTCTCAGAGGGCATTCTGTAATTCCATTATGCTCCTATAGAGAAAGCTTGGACTCAACCTTACTATTCTCAGCTTCGTAAAGGGACGGATGTGCAGCAGGCTTCCCCTGGTTATCTTGAGACTACAGAGCACATGTTTTTTAGATGTCCGTATTATCAGGTGGCGCATAATAAAATCTGAACAAATTCCAGGCCTCTCTGAAAAAGCTAGAATCGAGTTCCTTCTATCTGATAGAAATCCCAAGATTACTCACCAAGTAGCCAGTTTTTGTATGGTGATACTCAGATCACAGAGACCCCAAGGAAGCTAGTTAGATATAGTAGTTTGATATTAGATTAAATTTTGCTTTTAATGTTTTACTGATATATTTTAAAATCTTGGAATTTTGTAAAGGTGTACTTCTTTTTGTATGACTGGTCTAAGGACTGTAGAAATAAACTAATCTAATCTAACCCTTAATGCTGTTTAACATAACCTGGCCCACTCAGAGTCACAGGAGCTGGGCCACGATCCTAAAGGAGTAATTTCAGACCCACAGGAGTAGTACTTCTTTCTGAATAAATATGCTTGTGATTGATTGATTCCCCTGGTTATCTATGTGCACAGGAAGTACATATGGAAGGAAGTATACAGGTCTTCTGCGTTTCTATTAGGTTCTATTTCTACCCAGGGCTGCTATAATGATGAATACCCCCATATGGCTATATGCAGGAACCAGGAATTGCTATTTATTTACATAGTTAATTTATGTAATTTGTCCTTTCTCTGATGACAATATTAAAAATGGCAAATAAATTTAAAGTAGCATTAGGATAAAAGAGATCACTACTTATGTCATTCAGTACTTATCTAAATGGAAAAAAAACTTGCATCAAATGTCTCCCTTTTTCATTTCCCCCCAGTTTTCTGTTTGAACTTTGCACTGTATTATTTATTTACAATATTTATATACTACTTTTCAAAGCAGATATATGAAAATCTTTTCATAGAGCCAGGGGCATATAAAAATAAAAAAGGAGACAATCTTTAAGGTATCTAGGCAAATTCAGCCAGAGGCCAGCTCAGGGCATGTAGTTATCCAGTAAACTCAAAAGGTTTCTAGTATGCTGTTCAAGGAGGCTGGAGGAGTCATCCTTGCTTAGTACTATTACACCATGATAGGCATGGTAACCCTTATGCCAATGTTTGGAATATTCTCCCTAGTAGTGAGGTGGATCCTGCCCTTAATCCACCAGTCTGTTGAGCAAAGTTCATTTATTTATTTGTTTATTAAAATATTTATACACACCTTTCCTTTTGGCTCAAGTTTAAAGTCTTCCTCCAATCTAAGGTGCCTACCTCCAAATTAAAGGGCTCTTCCATTGGAGAAAGTGTCACTTAAGTTGCAGGAAGGTCCTTGGAATATGGTTTTATCCACCCTATTAAAAGCAGCTTTATCATTAGAACCACGCTTTTGTTGGCATGTCTTACAGGGCTCTTTTTGTAGAAAAAGCCCAGCAGGAACCAGCAGGTGCTTCCCAGGGATCTTTTTGTAGAAAAAGCCCAGCAGGAACTCATTAGCATAATAGGCCACACCCAACAGCAGGAACTCATTAGCATATTGGGCCACACCCCTGACAGCACAGCTCATTAGCATATTAGGCCGCACCCCCATGTTACCAGAAGTGTGGTTATCTAGCTACACCCACCTTTTGCTTGTTATTCTGTTTACCTTGTTTGTTGTCAAAACTCAGGACTTTTTTTGTAGCAGGAACTCCTTTGCATGTTAGGCCACACACCCCTAATGTAGCCAATCCTAATGAGTTTCTGCTGTTGGGTGTGGCCTATTATGCTAATGAGTTCCTGCTGGGCATGGCCAACTTGGGAGCCAGCCGGAACTCCGTTCCTGTGCGTTCCTGCCCAAAAATAGCCCTGCTTATTTATTCCTTCACTGCTCAGTGGAACCTGGTCTCTCTAACATTCTATACCTTTCGTCATGGAAAGGGGCCTGGGTGTCTGGGGTTTGCCACAGATGGGACATCCCCTCCAAGGATCCCTCCCTCCCCACCCTCCTGCCTCCTTCAGCCCTGAAGCAGGCAAGGGCCTTAACTGGCTGCTACCGAGGGTTGCCACCCTCCAAGTGGCACCTGGATATCTCCTGCTATTACAATTGATCTCCAAACGACCAAGATCAGTTCTCCTGAGGAAAATGGCTGCTTTGGAGAGTGGACTCTATGGCATTATACACATTATACAATTCTACCATTAGCACAGCACAGAAGGGAACAGAATGGGGACAGTAGTTTAAAGTGACATTTACCAATAGTTAAGCAAATCTAATCCAAGAATTGTTTTATGTGGCCTGTTGGAAACCAAAATACAGAGTTTCTGTTGGATCTCACTCTATTTTTACCCTACCAAGGGCCCAGAATTCTTTGGCACAGGATATATTTCAATATATGATGCTGGAGAAGACCCTTGAGAGTCCCTTAGACTGCAAGGGGATCAAATCAGTCAATTCTAAAAGAAATCAACTCTGACTGTTCTCTGGAAGGTCAGATACTGAAGATGAAGCTCAAATACTTTGGCCACCAAATGAGAAGGGAGCACTCACTAGAGAAGACCCTGATGCTGGGAAAGATTGAAGGTCAAAGAAGAAGGGGATGGCAAAGGATGAGATGGTTAGACAGTGTTATCGAGGCAACGAACATGAAATTAAGCAAACTCCGGAGCACGATGGAAGTCAGGAGGGCCTGGTGTGATGTGGTCTATGGGGTTGTAAAGAGTCGGACTTGACTGTGTGACTGAACAACAACAACATGTTCCAATATGGAGGAGGGAAAGTCATGGGGAGTGGTGTCTAGAAGTCCGTGGACTGACACTTTTCACTGACACGAAGGAATTTCACATTACCTTTTTAAAATTTGTTTTGAAGCCGTTTTTGATCCGTCATGGAGTAAACCGGTATAGGGCTGCCATTTCACACATGGCTTTCCCCTTCTGGTTAAGAGCTGGATCTGAAGCGGTTTGCCATTTCAGACTGCACCGCTTTTCCCCCACCGTTTTTTGCCCGTGTGGGCGATCTCTGGCTTTTTTTTTTTAACGTTCGCTTTAGAGCACTATTGCGCTATAGCACTATAACAAAACACTCCAGGCACTCCAATGGGATTGATATAATGCTGTTCCGTTATAGCGCTATAATGCTATAAAGCAAACGTTCAAAAAAAAGCTGGAGATCGCCCACGCAGGCAAAAAACAGTGGGAAAAAGCGCATCGGAACCAGGAGAGGAAACTGAAGACTACTTGGAAGCGGTTGACAGGTAAAATGCTTCAGCCCCGTTTCCTAAACGTGACAAAAGCGTTTGTGTCTGAAATTACAAATATATTCCGGTAGGGAACCGGTTCTAAAACGGTTCTGTCTGAAATGACAGACCAGAAACCGTTTGTGAACTGTTCCTCTTCTGGATTATATCGTCTGTCTGAAATTCCTCACACATTCACGTGTATTCACGCACATTAATGACATATTCTACGAACAGGACCAAGCATTAAAGCAGCTATTTTTAATTTTGTTTTTAAAAAATGGGGGGGGGGACTATTTTGTGTGTGTGTGTGCACCTGGAAGTCATAGTTGACTTCTGGTGACTCCTAGTGGGACTTAGATGTTTCAGAGAGATGGCTTGCTATTGTCTGCCTCTGTGTTCGCACCCTGGCATTTCTTGGAGGTCTCCCATCCAAGTACTTGCCAGGGTCGGTCCTGGTTAGCTTCTGAGATCTGACAAGATCTGGCTTGCCTGGGCTATCCAGTTCAGGCCAGTTTTGTTGACAAACGATGAGGCAGTGTCTCCTGATCAGACTTAGTTGGCAGTGGCACATATCTGGTGCCCATAAATCTGGCTGCTTTGAAACAAGAGATCTGTGATATAGTCAGATAAAAGGACATACTTCTTAGCAGGGGTCATTTCGTAGAAAAAGAGGTGCAGGAGCTCATTAGCATAACTCATTAGCATAACTTATTGGTATATGCCACACCACCTGACAGCACCGGAAGTGTGTCAGAAGGCAACACCCACCACTCAGGCTCCACTGGACTGTTTTGGATAGCTATGGGGGGGGGGGTAGAACGTGCAGATCTGTCCTTGCAGAGGAGGGAGAGCTTGTACCTGAATAAAACTTGGTCTTAAAGGTGCCACTGGACTGTTTTGGACCGGGGGGAGCTCTGCAATTTACCTGGCTGCTTCTTGCTCTGACTGAGGGCTGCTGGGAGCAGGGGGTGGGGCTTGTTGCATGTGCCCGCCCCCAGGGCTCTTTACTGCCGGAGCTCCGCTCCTGTGCGCTCCTGCAGGAAATGACCCCTGCTTTTTAGTAAATACAAGATTTCAGGATTTAGGACTGGCTCCCAAGTAAGTGAGTATAGAGTGCAAGAGGCTTATGAGAATTAGGTGACAGGCAACTAGCGAGTGATCCAGTTTAACAGCTGAATGTGAAATATATCTAAATATGCATTGAATAATACAAATTGAAAAAAAATGTATACATTTAAGTAGCAGTAGACATGTAATTTGGGTAAGCTAGCTATGCTTATAGATATAACAGAACTTGTGATATTACTAAATTCAGGCAGTCTGAACTAGGGTTGCCAGGTCTGGGTTGGAAAATACCTGGAGACTTTGGGGGTGGATCCAGGAGAGGGTGGGGTTTGGGGAGGGGAGGGGCCTCAGCAGGGTACAATGCCATAGAGCCCACCCTTCAAAGCAGCCATTTTCTCCAGGGGAGCTGATCTCTGTCAGATGGAGATCAGTTGTAAAAGCAGGGGATCTCCAGGCCCCATTTGGAGGCTATATATGACTTAACATTAAATAAAGCTCCAAAGTATTCCAACTCTTAGACTCTTCTTATTAAGTATACTGTTGGTTATACACTACATAAAACACAACTGATACACAGATACAATCCCAGAAAAGATTTCCCAGTTCCAAAATGGACCAAAAAGCACAACTTTTAAATATCCATAAAGAAAGTGAATCCAGTCCTTAAGACTTAAGGCAAATAATGGATGATGAGCTGCAGTCTTTTCTGGGACTGGAAACTTTTCTGGGATTGGAAAGTTTTCTTTAAATCCTTAGCCTATCTGTGTATCAATTGTGTTTTATGTATTGTATAACCAATAGTATATTTAATAATAAGAAGAGTCTAAGAGTTGGAATACTTTGGAGCTTTAGTTGATGTTAAGTCATATATGGTCTGTACTGATTAACCAATTTCCTTAAATTGTTGTAAGTAAACCCACTTGGAGGCTGGCAACACTAGTCTGAATCTATGTATGGTTACTCAAAGTAAGTCCCACTGGGTTCTTGGGGTTTACTCCCATCTAACTGCATAGAATTGCAGCCTTAAATAGAAGTGGGGAGGCTATTTTACTCAGAGTCAGGGGGAAATTGTTATAGGGATTTGGAGGGAAAGGGCTTCATCCAGATATGTTCCCTAAAAGGAGAAAATGGAAGTTTTCTTGATGATAATTTAAGCTTTAAATATCAAATAAATGAAATAGCAGAAGCAAAGGAATGGACAGATTGGGTTTTAATGCTGTAGAAAATGCTCTTAGAGGGCAAGAAATGATACAACATTCTGAAAGGGATTAGTACGTCCCAAGACACACCATCTCATGACCGCATTGATTCTCCAAGTGAGCAAGTTTTTATTTTCTGTAATAACACCCCTATCTAATTCTGTTTGCTCTTTGCCAGTTTGGTGTAGTGGTTAAGTACGCAGCCTCTAATCTGGGAGAACGGGGTTTGCTTCCCCATTCCTCCACTTGCAGCTGCTGGATGACCTTGGGCAAGCCTTAGTTCTGTCAGAGCTGTTATTGAACGAGCAGTTTCTGTCAAAGCTCTCTCAGCCCCATCTACCTCACAGGGTGTCTGTTGTGAGGAGGGGAAGGGAAAGGAGTTTGTAAGCTGCTCTGAGACTCATATAGGTAGTGAAGGGCTGGGTATAAATTCAGTCTCCTCCTCCTCCTCCTCCTCCTCCTCCTCCTCCTCTTCTCCTTTTTCTCCTTCTTCTCCTCCTCAGCTGAATGACACTTCAACCTGAGAGCAAAGGTCTTCCATCAAATTTGTGTTAGCATTATTAAAAAAAACTTAACATGTTCAAAGCTCAGTAATGTTTTCAGTGAACCATGGCACTAAAAGTCAGGCTTACCTCCTGCAAGAAATTCCTAGGATTCAGAAACTCAAAAATGCAATTTCTCCAAACTCTTTGCTAGATTGAGAGGGGGGAGAGTAGGAACAGAATGCTGAGACAAGCCAAACTTGCCTGCATTCCCACCTCCTGGTGCTAAGGATTGAATGATTGGAGAAAGCCAGAGTTCTGACTGGGCAAGGAGGGCTGACTATTTGGTTGTTCTACTCATGCTCAGTTGCATCTCTCAGCTGCTCAATTCTCGCTTGCTTTCCTGGACAGAAAGCACAAATACTGAACTGTCCAGGTGAAAACTGGACAGCCAGCAACTCTAACATTGTGCCAGCATGCATATATTAGTTTTGGTGAAAACCAGAAGTGACATGGCGGACACTAGAGTTTTTGCAAAACGCTAGAGAGTCCGTCACAGCACTTCTGGTTTTCATAGGAAGCGAAGTAAGTGTGGCGGCATGCCAGGCCCCACCCATAATTTCCTCCTGGAAGTTGCCAGCTGTGGCCTGGCAACCCTAGTTAGTAGGGTTGCCAGGTCCCTTTAAAATGCCAGTGGGGGAGTGCTCCAGGAGCCAGAAGCGTTGACCCCGATGTGCTGACATCACCAGAAGTGATGTTGTGTGCTATGCCGACATCACCTGGAAGTGATGTAGGCACAATGGCGGTGAAGCTCTGGTTTGGGGGCAAAATCACCCTCAAACCATAGAGTTTTGTCCAAAAACCAGAGTGCCTCCCCCCCCCCGTCACCAATGTGCCTATGTCACTTCTGGGTGACATAGGCATGTTGCTCCATGTTGTTGGGACGGGGATTCCCGCCCACCAACCAGCTGGCCGGTGGCAGGCAGGAGCCTGCAAAACCAAGGGATCCCCCACCCCCAACTGGGGACTGGCAACCCTATTAGTTAGAGATCTGACTCCTTCTCAGCAATCGGTGCCTGTTGTACCTCCATTTTCCCAAATGAACAAACAATGCAACCAAGGGCACAGCAATCTGAAAATACCAAAATAAGGAATTGCTGCAATCAGTTCACAAATTTACAGAATAATGACAAAAATGGGCATTTTCATGATGTATAAATCCCAAACTTCTTCTTTTAATCAACAGGTCAGATGATGACGAACATCTCGAGTTTCCAGAGTTCGTTTTGAGGTCTTTATCAAAATTCTGTTTTGCTGTATTTTTCAAACAATCCAATATAAGGAATCTCAAATTCAGAATGGCTACAAATAGCTCTCGTGTTAACCACTAGTTTCAACGGACAACTAGTGGTTAACACGAGAGCTATTTGTAGCCATTCTGAATTTGAGATTCCTTATATTGGATTGTTTGAAAAATACAGCAAAACAGAATTTTGATAAAGACCTCGAAACGAACTCTGGAAACTCGAGATGTTCGTCATCATCTGACCTGTTGATTAAAAGAAGAATTTTGGGATTTATACATCATGAAAATGCCCATTTTTGTCATTATTCTGTAAATTTGTGAACTGATTGCAGCAATTCCTTATTTTGGTACCTCCATTTTCACCAGGCCTATAAAGAGTTCTGCCTTGTCTTGAACAATGAGAAGAAATTATCTTTCAAATGATCACAAATCAACTGGCAGGGTTGCCAACCTCCAGGTGGGGCCTGGAGATCTCCCACTCTTTCTGCTGATCTCCAGACAATAGACATCAGTTCCCCTGGAGAAAATGACTGCTTTGGAGGGTGGATGCTATAGCATTTATTTATTTATTTATTTAGTCAATTTATACCCCACTCTCCCCGCCGAGGCAGGACCTCATTGTGCCCTACTGAGTTTCCTCCCCTCCCCAGACCCTGCCCTCCCCAGGCTGCACCCCCAAAATCTCCAAGTATTTCCCAACCCAGAACTGGCAATCCTACTTATCTGCCTAGAGTAGAAATGGGCCCACTATCTGACGTAATAGATCAGTTTTCTTATCCCCTTTTTGAAACGGCAGTTTACATTATTGGACCTTTTGCACAAGGCTTTCCTTTTCCCATTCCTTTAATGCCACCAAGATAAAACATTTAGAAATTTGATGGACAATATTGTACTGGTTAAAATGCTCTAAACTATGTACATAGTATACGGGCTAAAGACTGAAGGTCCTGTTCTCCCAGGTTGTTTTTCTTTTTAGCATTTTTCACCTGTTATGTTCACGTTGAATGTTTTCCATATATTGCTGAAGATTGCTGTAATGTTCTTACTATTTTCTTATTCTCCATCTACAGGAACTGGCATTCTGTCATCGCAACCAGAAGAAAATCCACACTGGTGGAACGCAAATATGGTGTAAGCAAGGGAGTAGTTGTTGGAGCTGGGAGGGGTGCAGCTGTGCAAAGTAAACATGATACAGGAGAAGGAACCAAATGGGAAATGGGGATTTGGCTCAGACATGAAATAAGCAGGAGTGGGTCTTGCAACTTATAACAAGTAATTGTAAAGTAAATATGCATTGAAGTTGCAGATAAAGGTAATGGATAATCTTCTTCCTGTATTTGTCATATGTCCCACCAGTTTTTCTCAAACGGTATTTTTGAGGTTTGAGAAGAGGAGGATGAATGGCACGAGGTTCAGGAAAGTTGAAAGCATCTAGTTCTGAGAACAATTAGTTGGAGCCAATGTGTTATAGTGGTTGACCTGGCAGAATTGAGTTCACATCCCTGCTCTATCAGGGGACAGAATGCTGGGCTACATGGAGCTTCCAGTGAAATTAATGCAAAGTAAGTTTAACATGAACAAATGATACACAGATACAGATATTCCTGAACACACCATTGTTCTTTGGAAATCACTGACTCCAGGATGTGTTAAAGGCGACTACTGTAGCTGGGTTCAGAAAGGGACTAGAAAAAGAGTATCTCATTAATTAGGGCTGGTCAAGGCTTAACTTTCCCCTAAATGTAAGATAACTAGAAGTGACCAGCTGGTGCTGTGATACTTCTAATGTTGCACTATGTAATTTGCATTGGCTCTAATTTTGAGGATAGGTACTCTATTGATATGTCCTAGTGAGGCTGCTTTGCTGGGTTTGTGATAACGAATACCTGAAGGGGGGTATAAGATGGTGACACACTGGTTACCAATCTTCAGATCAGGGTAGAATAGGAGACTGGCTGGCAAATGTGCATGTAAAACCTTTTATGCTTAAGGGGCTACTTAAGATGGAAAGAAAAAAAGTTATATCAAAAGATCACAATGGTCCTTTCTGGTCATAAAATGTAAAAAAAAATGTAGGATAGATCCTTGACAAGTTCAGAGGAAAAACTTTATCAGACTTCCCTGTGCACATTGAATCATGAAAAGAGATGGAGTCGCTGGTGTTTAGAACCACTCTACACAGCAGCTCCATCCACCAGTGTTTGCCATGGTAGAGCAGGAAGCTGTGCCCAGCTGAAGCTCTCTGGCAGACCTCCCTGAGTGTTTCAGGCTGCCAGTGCAGTTACAATAATAAGCACCAGTGGAACACCAGTATATGTGCAATATGAAATAACTCTTACAAAGGAGAAATGACGATAAATGTACATTTGAATGTAACCAGGAGAGATCAGTAAATCAACATGAATGCTACTCGAGTGATTTCTTTCTGGGGAATATCCAGGTCATACCTCAGATCTGAATGGGCATGAAATTGGTTTCTTCCCGTTTCCCTTAGGGTTTAATTTGCTTGACCCCAATCTTACCCTACTCTGCATGTCTCTTGCAGTTTCATCCCATATTGCTCAAGTGATGTCTGGTGTGGAGCCTCTGCCAAGACTGAGAAAAGTGAGTGCTTCTGACAGGCCCCTGCTGCCAGACAGACATTATACATTAAAGGGATATGGCCTGGCTTCTCTACAGTTATGCAAATGAAGGAATAGCTCTTGCCAATGGTCAGGAAGGAATAATAAATATCCTCTAGGGAAAACATCCGCTTCCAAACCCCACTTTGTCATGGTTCAGAGCACCATCACACAGGGATGTCATAGCAATAGCCAGAGGGGAATAGCTGCATCCTGAGTATCTGATGCAGCCCTGTTTCATTTAGATAAACTTCCTCCAGTCCCTGCAGCTACCACCATGAACAGAGTTTAACTTTTACATTTGGTAAGGAAGAACTGAACAGTGCCAGGATTTGCAAACTGAATTAAGAATGCTCCTGATGTTTGTGCATGGGCTTGAGGACTACATTATGCCACCTAGAATTATTACAAATACTACACAGGGAGGCTCACTATGGCTCAGAAAAAGATGTTGAGAAGCAATTAGGAAACCTTTTGGCTGACAGAAGATGTCTGTGCAATTCATAAGTTGATTTGCTACGCCAACTAATACTAGAATATTTCAGAGATGGGAAACATTACATTTCACTGTATAAAATGTGCAAAACCCTCTAAGATGAAACCAACCTGTGTGATTTTGGAGCTAGGATCATGGATAAGAAAAGATGTCAGATTTGAGATGCGCTGCTACATCTGCAGTATTTTTCAGGCTTGTATTTTTTCCTATCGATATGTCTCCTTTAAGTAACTTTGTGAATAAAGAGTGGTATGTTTTTCCAGTGTTTTCCCAGATCTTCAGTGAAGAGGAAGGCAGCTGTCTTTACTGTGAATGCTTTCCTTTTTTCCAGATGAATATGCCTTCATGGGATCTCTCATCATACAAGAGGTTGTAAAGGAGTTGGTTGGAAAAGGCCTGGGAAATGCCAAGGTGCTGTTGCTGGCAGGAAGCAGGTACATGCTTGAGTATGAACACTATGTAGGAAGGAGAAAAACATCAGAAAAGACATCACAAAGTACTGTCTAGATCAGGAACTTAGTCATCACAAAGTAATGTCCAAGACATGGACTCAATCTTTTGTCATTCCTAAGTCTCAATAGATATTTCTGTTTGAAAGGAGGAATTCTGAAACACTTGTATCAACCTCTGTGTCCATACAAGCAGAATGTGTCAGCTCTTTCAGTAAGGATTATTTAGAATTAAGTACCTCATTCTTGTATTACTTGCATTTATGGGAATACAGACATTAAACAAAGGGCAGAGAAGGGTAAGTACAGCTGCCAGTATACTACTAGTGGAAACCCGCAAAAAAAATTTCCAGATAGCTTTTAGGTTGCCCAAGAACAGCTAAAATGATGAGAATAGTCCTAGCTATGTAACCGCCCTTGGGCATGCAAAAAGCAACCAGTTTTCTCCTTTCCAACCACCCCAAGACTGTGAAAACAGTGCTGCTGAGACTGCCCAGCAGCAGAAGCACTTTCTCAGCTCCAAGAATAGCTGGAGAGGTAGGACTGTTTCCACCTTTCCTGCCATCCTTGATGCTTATGAGAGTGTAGCTGCTGTCTATGCCCTGATAATGGGAGAATATTGATACCTGCTATAATTTGATACCAAGCCCAACAACATTGGGTGTAACCTAAACTTTGAAGATGACCATTATTATTCATTACTACTAAATGAAGACTGCTTTCAGATGTGCTGTGAATGCAGAGAAATGCATGTTGATGACAGAGTTTTCACACACAGGAGTTTTTAATGCACTTTTGATCTTACAAGCTGTCTCTCTGATGCTTAGAAAATTGAATACTAGAATTGGCAGAGACATATGAATCATGTGCTCCATTCAGACAATGGCAGGATTAATTAAATAATCCCAATGTTTTTATTAATTGAATCCCTAATTTGTCAGGGACCCACGTACCTTCAGGACCGCCTCTCTCAGTATGCCCCAAGAAGAGTGTTATGCCTGGGAAGTAAGAACCTCCTGGTGGTCTCTGACCTGAGAGAGATCTGGCTGTCGTCAACCAGGGCCAGGGTGTTTTTGGCCCTGGCCCCTGCTTGGTAGAACTCTGCTGGAGAACATTCATGCCCTGCGGGATTTGTTATCTTTCCACAGGGCATGTAAGGCAGAGATGTTTCGCCAGACATTCAGCTGAGGACAGCGATGGGACAGCATATAGTTTGGCACCCTCATATCCTCCATTCTCCGCAACCCCCCCCACCCCCCCCGGAGGCCTGTGGAAGCTGACTTTTTTTCTGCCATCTTGGAACTGGATTTTTTAAATTGTTAATATGTCTTATGTATTTTATTGTTGGTTTTTACTTTATTTATGGTATACACCTTCATTGTAAGCCACCCTGAGCCCAGCTTGCAGGGAAGGGCAGCCTAAAAATCTAGTTAAATAAATAAATAAAAATCTAGTTAAATAAATAAATAAAAATCAGAATTTGGAAATCCTTCATGCAACCACATTTCTTTGAACTACCTGTGGTACTGCAAGAATAAGCAATGGGAAAATTTGCATAAACATTGGTGTAATTTACATAAGGTGGTGCTAACATAGGCACTATAAGAACGCCCTGAAAATTCAGTTTATTAGGTCTGGATAACTGATGGTGCCATCCTAAGAGGAATTACATCCTTTTAAGTCAGTGGGGTTTGAAGGATATATCTTTTGCTTTGAATGGCACTGTGAAATTTGGATAATGGTGATTGTATTGTACACAACAGTGAATACTTCTGCAGTCGAGTGACTAATCTCACGAAAAATTGACCTTGTTGTTGCAGTGCTGGTGGAACGGGGGTACTCCTGAATGTGGACCGTGTAGCAGAGCAACTGGAAGAGATGGGGTATCCTGGGATTCAGGTCCGTGGCCTGGCAGACTCTGGCTGGTTCTTGGATAATAAACAATATCGCAGAACAGACTGCATTGATAGCATAACCTGCGCCCCCACAGAAGCCATCAGGAGAGGACTTAGGTACTGAAAGTATTCTAAGGTCTCCTTTCCCAGAAAGTTGGGCACTGATCTGAGACACCCAGTCTTTCTTTCTCTTTGTTATTGTAGGATATCTACTGCATTTAGCTGATAAAGTACTACTTCGAAAACAACCAATATTCACAAAATGTTTAGGCTCTGCTGAGAGCATACTAGGCATCATATGTACAGATGTGACATGCTAATATAGTAAGAATTTCCTTTTCGCTAGTGTATGTAATTGCTCAGCTTTACTGCCCTCTGCTGTCCACGATTTTTGGAATTCAAACATTCACAGATAACTGTTTCAGAGTCCCATAGATTGTAGTTAGATATTTACAACTGAACAAGTTTCTGTAATTAACTATTATTATAATTTTATATTTCAGATATTGGAATGGAATTATTCCAGAACGTTGCAGAATGCAGTTTAAAGAGGGCGAGGAATGGAATTGTTTCTTTGGCTATAAAATTTATCCCACTCTCCGATGTAAGTGTGTAAAGGCAGGCTTTCTATTTAGTGATGTGAAAGACACTCCAGAAGAGCCTTCCTTATCATAATTAATAATGGCTAGAGATGACAATTAGCTAAAGGTTTTCCAGTTGGTTCATCATGTGACTTTTAACCAATGGCTGGATGAGTAAACTTACAAATTATTTAAACATCAGTGTAGAAAATAATTTCATAAAAGCTGCAACATTTTTAGAAAGACATCTTTAATATTTTCATCTTAATTTTCTCTCAAAGTGGAGCAGCAGCATTAAAACTTCAGCATTAAAACTTCCTCAATAAATAAGAGTGTCCTTAGTTTTTCAGTTCACTGATAAAATGTACTGTGCCAATTCATCATGTAAAGCTTTAGTTAATGAATTCTGCCCATTAAACCTTGCAGCCCTAATAATGACAAAATCTTCATCCAATTCTTTCATTCTGTAGCTCCTGTTTTTGTGGTACAGTGGCTCTTTGATGAAGCTCAACTCACCGTAGACAATGTGCATTTGACTGGCCAGCCAGTGCAAGAGGGACAGTGGCTTTATATCCAGAATCTGGGCCGTGAGCTGAGGAACACACTCAAGGATGTGACGTTAGTCTTGCTTCTTACAATTTCCGTATCCTTTAAACGGTTGTTGTTTTTAATGATGTAGGATAGGAATCTGTTGTTTTTACAACTGGAGATCAAAAGACTAACAAGCTACATTGTTGAAACAATTTTAAACATCTGCGTACATCTAAGCTGCATTTAAAACTCTTGTATTACAGTTTAATGGAATAGATTATTGAGGATTCAGCAGTTAATCTTGAGCTAGTGCTTTTATTTCCTATAGTAAAGGATAAAGCCAGGAAGACTTAACACTCCTGTCTGCTGTTATACCATTTCTAGCCTCCACCGGGGTGTTCACAAAGCACTAAGAAGCCCCCTGCAATAATGTCATGAATCCTCTAACAAGTCAGGTCATTTGTATCATAATCAACTGAGCACAGCACCTCAGATAAGCTCAGATGTGAGCTCCAAGTGTAAATTAGCTGCCACCCTACCAATTCAGGCTTCCACATACCCATAAAACCAGTGAGCTACCCAAGCCATAGTGCAAGGAACAGTGAAAGTTTGGGTTGCTAGAAGGTAATGGAGAAATATTTGTGTTTCTGTCACACCTGCTTCATGTCCCCCTCCCCTTTTTCTTTTTCAGTGCCAGCTTTGCTCCAGCTTGTTTGTCGCATGAGATTATCACACGCACGTAAGTGTCTAGAAGGGGGAGAGGTAGTCTGGGTCTTGCTTTGCGCAGTCTCAGAATGAAGCTTTAGAACAGCATGTTGGAAATCCACCCCTCAGCCTCCCAGTTAACAAAGGTTCCTTGGAACATTGCTGGAGGTTTTACTAAGCTGCAGAACAGACAGCAGCCCCTCTAACAGAACAACTTTCCAGGAGTGAGGTTTTTGCTGATTGCACCTCCTGCAGATTACCAGCTTGCTCCCCCCCACCCACCCCACTGCTCCTTTGGGTCCAGTGACCTGCAGGAACACTGTTTCAGAGGGCACAGAAGACTATAGCAAGAGAGGGGAGACAGGGAAATTCCTCTAGCAGGACTCTGCTCACTCTGTTTCTAATCCAAGCCCAGGTTTGTGGAATAGCCTTCTAACAGCCAGTGAAAACTGGCTCCTCCCTGTTGTAGGATTTGACTCTGGGAAGTATTAGGCACAGTGAAACATCTGGGTTCCTGAAACTATTTTCCTTCTTTGCTGGACATGTCCCCCTTTTCTTCCTAGTATTGCTCAGTAGCAATTCTATTATGGCACCTTAACTGCAGACACAAAAGCCATGACAAACAGGTTTATCTGTGACCGGTCTAAACAGTTTGTTTTGTTGTTCTTGTACGCTCCCATAATTTCTCCATCTTCCCCTCATACGTGGCTCACAGTTGAGGACTTCTTGGTTTGGAAAGCCTTGAAGCAAGCTCCAGTTTGCCATGACATGTCATTGGGATTAAGTGGAGATTGAGAATCCTGGTTTGTGGGAAGGAAACAACCTTCAGTTTGCACAGGCCCTTGCATCAGGATGTCGTGGCCAACTGGAGTTTGATTCATGCCTTCCCAAACCCAGAGGCCTTTGATCCTGTTCCATGGAGGAAGTGGAGGGAGGAAGGGGAATGAGCAAGCACATCAGCAAGCTTGGCATGAATAAACCTCTGTCACAGTATTGGAATGTGACCATTGTGATGTTGCCACATCTGCATTCAAATCAAGTCCACAGCTTCTGTGGGGTCTAGGAGAGCTATTCTAAGCAGGGTCTACTCAGAAAGTAAGTTCAATTTTATTCAATGGGGCTTACTCTAAGGAAAGTGTTCCTAAGATTGCAGTCTGTGCTGAGCAGCTGTTCTGCCAATCATGTGCCAACTGATGTGAAAATGAGTAATGAATATCATGATATTCCATACACTGATGTAATTTGTATGGTTTGTTTTGCAGTCATTGGACAGACATCCAAGTGAAAGGGACCTCTTTACCCCGTGCTTTGCACTGCTGGGACCGCAGCTTACATGACAGCAACAAGAATGGGAAAGCCCCACTGAAAGGCTGCCCTATCCACTTGATTGACAGCTGTCCATGGCCACACTGTAACCCCTCGTGCCCTACCATTCAGGACCAATACACAGGGCAAGAGATGAATGTGATCCAGTTTCTCATGCACATGGGTTTTGATGTGCAGAAGATGGCACAGCAGCAGGGCTTGGAACCAAGTAAACTTCTGGGGATGCTGAGCAGTGGTAGCTAGGGGAGTTTTCCGTTAAGGAGGACTGAGTGACTGCCTAAAGGGAAGAAGCCTTTTCATTCCTCTCTCAGACTTTCTGCCAGCCTTGCCCGCTTTCACTACACAAGCAGCTACAGAGACACAGAAGCAAACTCATGCATACACCCTCTGGTACAGTTCGTGTATCAAGATAAAAGGAACACATCCTCACACCATTTGATTGAAACATTGCCTCTGCTTCAGGGGACATTCTCAGCTAAGCAGAACCTCTGTCCATATTAATCCCCTAATGGGTGCAACGACTGCATAGAAAATTCAGAATCAAGAACCATCTCCAGAACCAAAAGGACTTAATACTTTTTTAACCCTTTTCAGGAACCTTTCACACTATAAATGGACAACATGTGGTGGGGGGGGAAGCACTGGATTATTTATCCAATTAGAAGTGAAGTTATGATTACATGACTTCCTGGAGGTCAGCATCTCATAATGTAACATAATGTACAAACCAAGCACACCGGCTAGAAATGGACTTTTCTTGTACTCCATCTACTTTTGTATTATTTTATAAAATGATTTTTATTACAATTTTTGAAGAAATAAGCAAGAAATATAAGATTAATGATACTGTTTTGTAACATTTTAAAAAATAATGACAAACCACCTTGTGCTACTTTGGCAATGTGAAAATATTTATTTTATTATGTAAATGCTATTTATAAGGGCTGACCCTAAGACATGCTCATATGATATTGTAAAGTTGTAAATACTTCTCCTTTGGAAAGGTTTTCCTTCTGATCATGTATGTTTGGGAGAGGGCAAGGGTCAGCAGTGGCATTATTATAATTATTATTAGAGTCCTATGATTCCATTGTAGTATGTTTGTTGTTTCTTGTTACTTGTGAATAGAAAAAGATACCAGTCACAACCTCTAGGGAAAACTTTTATCCAACCTCTTCAGCTGTAAGTACCCTGCATACCTTGTTCAAAAAAAGGGGTTTTCCTTATACAGATAAATTGCTATCCTATGTGTGAAGGTATTTACCCATTATCAGACATGAAACAGCAGGTCAGTAGGTGCTGGAAAAGGCATGCAAAAATACAGTAGGGCAACCTGGGATGAAAGGATGGTAGAAATTGGCAAACCCTAAGAAAGTTTGTAATTGTCTCCTCGTCTGAGTGGGGTCCCACCCCAATACATAATTGATTTTAAGGGGGTCCATGCCCAGCCCTTTTCTGGAAATCTGGTACCTGAGGAAGTCCAATTCTTCCTTATGGAACTCACAATTAGACGGCTTCACAAACAACCAGTTTTTGTAGAGGGCTTTCAGCACATCTCTAACCAGCCCCACATGCAAGTCCTTATCAGGAGTATAAATGAAGATATCATCTAGATAAACCAGGACCCCCTTGAATAAATGCTTCTGCAACACCTCATTGATCAAGTTCATGAACACTCCAGGGCCCCCCAAGAGCAGAAATGGTGTAACCAAGTACTCAAATTGACCAAGGGGGGTATTGAAAGCAGTCTTATGTTCATCTTCCTCTCGGATGTGAACCCTGAGCAGCCTCAGACAGTAAGTCATTTATTAAGGGGAGGGGATATGTGTTGGACATCGACACAGCATTCAGGCCCCGATAATCTGTGCATAGTCTTAACCCTCCATCCTTTTTCTTGTGAAAGAGCACTGGAGCGGCGAAAGTTGAAGCCGTTGGCCAAATGAACCCTCGAGCCAAATTTTTATCAATAAACTTCCGCAGTTCCTCTTTTTCGGCAGGGTTTATGGAATATAATTTCCCCTTGGGCATTTTGTGGCCAGGCAAGATTTCAATAGAACAGTGAGTGTTCTGGTGAGGGGGTAGTTCATCCCCCTCCTCCTCCTCAAAGACCTCAGCCAAGTCTCTCTATTCAGGGGGGATCTGATTTAGCTCCTCGGCCAGGCACACTCGCTCCAGTTGCAGCTCCCCCCCCCCCAATTTTGGGTTCCATCTATGTTCTTTGCAGCAGGGGTCCAGGAACCGCAGGGTCCCTACACTCCACTGGATAAAGGGGTTGTGTGCCCCGAGCCAGGGGCTCCCCAATACCATCAAGAAGTTTGCCGAGGGGTTCACAATTAATTATCTTAACTCCCAATGAGAGCCCACTCCTATGGGTAGGTTAGTGGTGCAATGCACACAAAGTTCCCCTTTCATATGTTTCCCATCCATCTGTGAGAAAACTAGGGGCTCCTCCAGCTCTCTTAGCTTGGCTCCCAATCCCAGCACCAGGGTTGGACTGATTAAGTCTTGGGTACACCCTGAGTCAATGAGAGCCCACACTCGAATGTGGGTGCGAAGGGAGGGGTGGACTACAGTCACAGTCATGTAGAATAGGGGGGGAAGAGGATCTCACTAATTCTGGCATGGTAGAGTTTCGGATCTGCCGTTTAGCGCCCTTCACAGCAGGTCCCAGCCTTTCCCCGCCGGCTGTTGAAGCTCCTCCTCACTGGACAAGATGCTCTCCAACTCCTGTCTCCCGCCCAGCTGGGCAGCTTGGGATTACTCCTGAGTGGCTTAATCCTCTTCTCTGGTCCCTTGTGTTCTTCTTTCTTGGCTCCTCCAGGGCTCCTTTCCCGTGGGCAGTTGGTGGTGAAATGCCCAGGGCCCCCACACTTCAGGCACAGACCTTGCCGCATTCTTTGCTCTTGGTCACTCCGGGAACCCTGGGGCCGGCCTCGTTGTGCCTTCGCCTCCCCTCCTGGCACCTTGGCCACTGGCTTCAGGTGGTACATCTTTAGCAGGTTGCAACAGTTCTCTGCCTCACACGCCACCTGAATCTAGCCATTTAGGGTTAGGGGGTTATCTTGGGCCAGAGCTTTGTCCAAGATGGAATGGTTCAAACCCACTTTGTAGAACTCAGCACCCCTGCAGCTTGGCCATATACGTCCGAGAACTCCTGGATGAACTGGCTGCCTTGGAGGCGAGATCTGGCTTGCTTCAGTTCCAGAGGGTCCTCGTATTGCCGACAGAGGTTTCTCATGAAAGCGTCCACATCCCAGAGTTCTGGGACCCCCACGTTGAACAGACCTACAAACCAGTTGGCCGTCCGGTCTCATAGTCGTGACCCCAGGTAATCCACCCAGTGTTCATCTGAGGCGAAGGTGTGGCCCCACTCTCTCCGGAACTTCTGGACCTGGAGCACGAAGAATGCCAACTTTCCCGCGGTCCTGTTGAACGTGGCTTTGAGTGTGTCTCTAGGGGCAGCAGGGCCGGGGTGCACCAGCGGTGGTTCTGGAGGGGTCTCACCTCCTGGAGGGGGCACCCCTCTGCACCTCCTCCCCCCACTTGTAGCCCCAAGCCTTGAAGCTCCTGCTGCAGCACCTTCCATATGGCATCTGCTAAGCCCCCCAGGGCCTCTTGGGTATCCCAGCACTGTTCTGCGATCTCTGCCC